TTGCGAATTTCATAGTAACCAGAGGAATCTTGAGCATTTATCACTGAAAATTTCAATGATTTTCCCTTGGATCTCACGCAAAAATACAAAAAAAATTGGATAAAAATTGCACAGGTATACGTCCTTCTAAGAAATTAAATGGTTTGAACCAATTTAGAGGCCTTAGTATGTAGTCACGTTCTTTCGTCCAGAAAACGACGAGTTGACTGTAATTGAAATTTTTCAACTTTTTGGTCACGCAAAATGTATGCTTTTTGCAAAATAGTGTGGACTGTGGACATAGGACTATTATACCAACCACTTTGTTACATTCATTTCGGGCCACATTTTTTGACGTAATTTTCTTGTTTCCCAGTACTTGTACACTGAAGAAAAACCTCGGCCTTGGAAGCCCTGTTTACGAGCTACATAGACATACTGTCCGCGCTCCGGGCTTAGCACCCGGAGCATTCGAAGCTACGGCTCCAGCACCCGGAACTTTCGGCCCGGAACGGACGTTATGTCTAAATAGCCCGTAACTTTATTTTTTCAGTGTAGCACGTCGAGAGACGTCACAAAGCAATTATCCATAACGTGCACTGACGTGGTCGTGCATGGAGGACTCCAATACTGCCGAGCTAAGGAAAAGCGCCGTATGAACCTTCAGACGTTGCCAAATTTTCTCTGATAAAACACGAATTTTTGGGGGAAATTTTAAGTATTTTCCTTCGAATTTTGCAGACTATTTTGTTCGCAATTTACTCTAAAATATCTGTAAATTTCATCGAAAAATATGCATTAATATCGTCAGAAAATGCATGTTTTATCCGGAAAAATTTGGCAACTGTCGAATGTTCATACGGCGTTTTCCCTTAGCACGGCGGAATAGAGATGGGCGAGAAGCCACGAGCCGAGACCCGTAATTGGACGCAAGTGCGAGGTGGGCGGCGAGCGAGGGGGTCCGGAAAATGTGTGTCAACGAGTGCGGCGCATGATTGATATAACATCAAATCAGAGTATTGGTCCCCAGTCGAATCTTTATGAGGTTTGACAGGTGCCGATGCACGGTGATGGATCAAGCTACTGATGTCACTCCCCCCCCTCCCCCCGCCTCCCTTCCGCCGCGAGCGCGTCACCCTTGGAGGGCTAACGCCAGAGTCGACGTCGATGCCGGATGTCCTCTTCGGGCTGAAAAAATCACCCTGCGAATCGAGGTGTGGTCAGAGAGTAATGCTGCCGCCAAAGCGAAGTGTTCCGTAAGTAAAAAAATGAAGGTTTGAGAAAATGGTAACGCATAACGCCTGTGGCGCGAAGCGCTTCAAGAGGTTGGACCGCTTCTGTGGGAGCCTTATTATCCCCTGGGCCCCCCGAACCGCGGCCATGAGAGACAGGTCCATCAGCCTCTTGGTATTGGATGCAGATTTCTACTTTCTCAAAGGAGCGGAACGTTTTAAAATAAGTAATGAATAGAAGACTTTTGGGTGAGGTTAAAAAAGGGTCGGCCTTCAACTCTGGAAATTTTGATTTATTCGAGGGGATTTCTGGAGATTTTATAAAGTTTATCCTCTCCTCCAAGTAAAGTTTCCCATTCTGAAACGGCGCTTGATCTGACTGAAACTGTCTTGCCCATACGATGAATTTTTGGGTTTGATTGACAGATTTTGAAACTTTTTTTTCATTGGAGATGGCAGAATCCCAGGAATTTCGACGGACTTTCGAGCCTCAAACGCCATCATAAAGTTCCTTAGACGTCTTTAAAAAGGTCTATAACGCTTCATCAAAAGCAAAGAATCTTTTAAAAAAAAGAAGAAAAAACAAGAATTTTCTCGCTCAAAGGTGACATTTATATTCTTAGTCCCTCAGGTCTCTCAGCCCCTTTCTTCACCCACAGACGACTTTACAGCTGTCATAAGATCACCTCCGCAATTCTTTTTCAACTGAAAATTTTTTTATACACTTTGAGGGAAAACTGTGCTCATATGAGCTTTTCCCCTTCGTATTGAGATTTTCAGCTTTATGCTGAATTTCAACGCACGTTGGCAATAAACTCCAATATACATATAAAGTCGCTTTTATAGCGCCGCCTCGCGCTCTGCGACGCCCAATCGCCATTGCCCCCTATCCTCCCAGAGATCATCAGGCAATTGGCACCTTCTGATCTCCTCCTCCACCCCTTGTCGCCAACCTTTCACAGGACGTCCACGCCGTCGCCTTCCGGGAGGAACCCAATCGAAGACCTGCTTGGGCAACCGGTCGACTGCCATCCTTCGCACATGCCCTTACCAGACCAACTGCTTGGACCTGATATCGTGCACGATGTCCTTCTCCACACCCGTGATCTCGCGTACTTTTACATTGCGGATACGCTCTCTTCTTGAGATGCCAGCAGACCTCCGCCAAAAGTCCATCTCAGTTGCCCTAAGCATGTCTTCAGTTCTTTTCTTGAGTTGCCAGACCTCACTCCCGTAAGTTACGATACTCTTCACGATGACGTTGTAAATTTTTCTTTTGGTCTCCTTATTGGAGATACTCTGGTCCCAGAGAGCCCCATTTAGCATCGCGATTGCTTTCCTGCCTTGCACATTCCGATCTTTAATATACTGTCTGTAACTCCAATATACTGTCTTTTTTTTGTTTCTATATTTGTCCTTTAAGTTTGTTCAGTCCTTCGAAGACGGAAATTTTCAAAAAAATACTCTCATAGATCAAGGAAATCCGAACTAAACTCGGCGACGCCGCTGTGTAAGACGAACGAGAGCGCATGTGAGTGGTTCGCCCAGAAATTTGTCGCTTGTTCAAACAAAATTGCGAACGCGGGCCCTCCCCGCGAAACCAGCGTAATAGTTAAAAAATGATTACACGAAATTTCAGGCGAGTAAACATAAATCTGCCTCCGCACCTGTTTCAAGACTCGATTCATTAAAGCGCCCAAGAGTTCACAACACCGTTGCCATTCGAGTCAAAAAATCCACAAGAATCCTAGTAAAACATGTCATCGATTTCTCACAGAATCGCATCGCTGCTTTCCAAACAACCTGGACCGAAATTCGTCACTCCTCCGGCGTAAGGGCGTATCTCGATGTCCACATGAGCCCTGTTGTCCGTATTACTCCATACTTCCCGGGGCTCACTTGAAAATTGAGATACGTCGTTTTGTCAGAGGAGCGACGGAATGAGCACAACCACGCTTGCGCGACGTGGCACGTCAGCCCCTCAGAATTCCTATCCTTTGTCGGATGAGGTTCGACGCCTGATCGAACGATATATCGATGTGCGTCCCGCCTCCCGCGGCAAAAATATCGATCTTAGATTTCGACCCATCGCACGCCTGACGCTTCCTGTGTCCTGCCGCCCCGACAGATGTCAGGATGCCGTCACTTCTGCTCGCACCTATGTCAATATTGACGCGTTCTTGACATGATCCTGATGATTTTGAGGTGTCATGTTGATTTATGCGAATTTCCGACGTGTGGTACAGTGACCAAATTCTGACACGCCACGGGGATGCTGGTCTCCACGCAGCATCGGACTCAGAGATGGAACATGAGTGTATCGTGGTGAAAATCAACGCACAATGTTCTCAAACTGAACTTTTCATCTGGCACATTCTTTCGCACTTTGGCCATCCTTATCAACTCGAGGATTTTAGTCGTTTCCGGTGGGTGGTTTTTATTTTGCAGTGCATTCTGTCGACTCCTACGGGGAGAATTTGACGATATACCTCTTTTATTTCCATTTAAATCTCTTCGATTTGAAATTAATGAATAGCATTAAATTGCGAATGGACCACTAGACAAGGTACGAATTTAAGCAATCTGATTCAAGTTTCTGAACCAGAAGTTCACGTAGAACACGATTCACGCAACGAAAATTACTGAAATCAACTCCTTACGAAGATGTAAACGATTTTATTTCACATTGGTTACGAAGAATTTGAACTGCCCGCTCACGTGAAACTCAAAGCTCTACGTGAGTCAAATCGAGCACTACAACGGTTTCAGCAAGCTTCTCAAACGAGCAATGTTCATTTCCCACCATGTGTTGTTCATACTATGAGCCATTTGCTTTAGCTGAGCCAAAGCGTCAAGATTGAAGTTGTCAGATTTTTATATAGCAGAGACTGTCATGATAACGTTTAGCGCGCGATATGAATCACGTAGAGCAATGAGTTTTCATGAGCGGGTGGTTTAAATTCACGCATCAAGAATAATTAATTATCTTCGTAAGGAGTTGATTTCAGTAATTTTCGCTGTGTGCACTGTGTTTTACGTGGAATTTTGATTCAGAAACATGTATCAGAATGCGGCAATTCGTACTTTGTCTACTGGTCCATTATTCCCAGATTCCCTCGGAGAGCAAGTTTCCCCTACAGCGCATCTGCAAAAAAAACTCCACTGTGCAAAACTGCTTAAAGTGTCCGAACTGTTTATTATATTTTTACAAGTCCCGCATAATAGCCGCGTAAATCTCGCGCGAGCTTAATGTCTCTTGATAGCAGCGACGAGGCGCGAAATCGATTATCGATATTTCCCCATTTGAAGCTATGGTAAAGAATCGATCATTCAGCCATCCGTTGCAAACACCCTGTTTATCGATCCTTTCCCATTGGTTCAAACGGCAGATCAATCGATATATCGCAAAGCACGCCACGCCACTGTATGATAGGTTAAGTGACGAGGCAGTCTTCCAGGCGACTGCCCTGTTGAACGAGCTGTCTTCCAAAAAAGAACAAGTCCATATTTCACATGGACCTCGGGCTGCACAACACTACTAAAGTCGTGGGGTTCATCTAAAAATTGACACGATCTCTTTCAGAAACAGCTCGTCCCTTTGTCCCGTCGACAACTTTTGATCCTGGTTCAACGGCGGGAACTCGACTGGCGCAGGGAAAAAATCACCGAGTCCCGCCGCGGTCCCTTGCCTTTGATATTTCACGCCTTGTTGAGCTGTTGACCGGGCCTTTGACAGGCCTTTGACGAGCCTTTTCCCGGTGGAACTTATGGCGTGTGGAGTCGACTCACCCGAAGACGCCCACGGCGACGGCTGCCTCGCGCAGAGCTCGATCGTGATCCATGTCCACGAAAGTTTCGGGTCGGATCGTTGCCGTGTTCCTCGGTTGCCGCTCGTTCTGGACCGCTGTAACAACCAGGGAACATTGAATTTGAGGATTGAGATCAGATACCGAAATTCGGAAAGTCCGAAATCAACTTATACTTACAAAATTAGAAAGAAAAAACACCAAGAAGAGGCCCGGATACTATATGTAACAGGGTGGACCCTGGTAAAAATTGGCAGTAGAATCTGCGTTCCAAAATACCATAGACCTACAGCCGGCTGTAAGATTTCCAATAGCCTCTATAACCGGCAACACAATTTCTTACAGCCTTTTATAGCCGATGGCGATTAAGCAACAGCCTGGCGATAAAGTGTATGCTTATCATTACTGATTCCGGATGCTAATACTTGGTGAGTTTTTGGACTACCGCTCTCTTCTTGAACCGTGGTATCTTGATTTATTTTGCGAGGAAAGCGCCGTATTTTTGAAGTATGCCTGCCATTCCTAATATGTTGGAGCGCTTATAATTTCGTATGATACTGTGCATTACCGCTAGTGTGAAATAGTTGCTTCAAGCGCCGTGGTACGGCGCGGCGCGGCGCGGCGCGGCGGGCAGGCAGCCAGCGCGAAACGCGCAGTGGCGCCTACAAACCTAACAGGGATACTTCACGCATTGCGCAATGCGTGAATTATCCCAGTTAGGTTTGTAGGCGCCAGTGCGCCGCCGCTCCGCTTTGTGTTAAGCTCTAATATTTAATCTCGTGGAGTCAGCGTTTTTCAACTCATGACTTTGAAATGTTTGCACACTCTGTATGGATTATTCTCTTTTTAATTGATGAAAAAAATATGTAGTAAAGGAAAATATAATGTGCGTTTTGTAAATATTAAGGTGATTCCGCACAAACTTAAGGATTTACAAAGCACACGAATTTCTACACAATTTTGTATTGCCTTTTATAGCAGATGGCGAAAAAGCAACGGCCAGGCGATAAAGTGTAAAGCCCGGCGATAGGAATTATAGCCCGGCTGTATAATTTTTTATCGCTTCGTGTAGCCCGGCCGTATGATTTTTTCCACTTTCTACAGCCAGCTATAAGATTTTCCATCGCTTTCTTCAGTCGGCTATAAGAACTCCTATGGTATTTTGAAACGTAGCTCATATCGCCAATTTTTACCAGGGGAGACATGGTGCTGGGTCCACACCATTTCGCGGGGAAATCAGAGCCAAGAAGTTCTAAAAATTATAATTAGAGTCAAAAATAATTTTTTATGGCGAAATGGTGTGGACCCAGCATTATTTTTCCACCTTCTTGCAAAATTATTATTGGTTTTAATTTAAGGGCTTAAAGGACAGGGCACATATAAGTGCAATTTTTGCTGTTTCGAGAAATACGTGCTTGAAGTTTCGAAATTCCATGGATCCTCATGGCGGAAAGAAAGTTCAAACAGACTTTATGATGCTTAAAAATTGGAATTTGGGAGCGAATTTTCCCACAGAACATGCATTGAGACCAGTTTTACTTGAAATCATTAATATCTCATTTTTTTCAAAACCTGCAATTATACACCTTGTTCTTCAAGCCCCTCAATTCATATCGTCGCTCCTCTGACGTAAGAGAGTATCTCAATTTTCGTTTAAGCCCCAGAAAGCATGCAGTTAATTGTGAAACGGGACTTTCGTGGAAATCGTGTTACGTCCCTACGTCATTAAAGAGACGACGGTATTGGAATGAGTCAATTCAAACTACCCGACAGCGAAAAAACCAAAATTGAATGTAGATGAAAGTGATCATGGCGAACGGATCATAACGGAACGGGTGTTTGCCCCCTACGCCTCCCCTTAAATCCACCAATGAAATGCAGGGTTGCAATTTTCTTTAAAAATTAAGTCTTGAAATTGTATACGAAAATTTCATGGAATTTCAGACAAATATGAAGAATATTGAAAAATATCTTTCAAAATGAAATGCAAAATTAAACGAGGAATGACTGATTTTTGCTTTTTGGTGTTTTTTAGTGCGTGTTGCATACCCAGCCCCTGTAAATGAACATACTTTTCACACTTGAAATATTTCACGGAAATTGTCAATATTTCACATTTTTCATTTCACCCATGCACTCCTGATGAAATGTCTAGAATTGTTTTTTTTTTTTTTTTTATTTTTTTTTCCTGCTGGTTTTATGGCTTCACGGCTAGCACCTTCAGCCAACTTTTAGACTTTGTTTATTGTGTGTAGACAACGAGGGATTCAGGTACTTCCATGCTCCAGGCTTTTCAAATTTTCAGGAATTAGGGCCGAGGAGAATCTGCACTGAAAAAAAATTATCGGCGTTTTTACCAAGGTCCGTTGGTACCTTTACCATCTCACTTTTTTTTACCAATGATTGGTAATTTTACCAAGACAGACTGGTAAGCTCACCTAAAACGGGTAATTTTACTGTTTTTTCGGGTAAGAATACCACTTTTATTGGTGATCAGTTCGGTAATTTTGCCATTTTATATTGGTAATTTTACCACAGTCGATAAAAAATATTGGCGTTTTTACCAAAGTCCAGTAAAATTACCGAGAAAGTTCAATAATTACCAATTCCATAAATGGTAATTTTACCAAGAAAAAACGGGGATCAAATAGAACCCTGAATTCTTGGTAATTTTACCCTGTTCTTAGTAAATACACCGAGATTTTTTTTCAGTGTTACGTCTAGAATTTGAAATCCTAAAACTCTATACAGACGGTGAAACTACCAAACCACGCATCTCGGCTTAAAGGGGCACATTATTATATTTCCTCAAGTGCCAACCCCTGAACCCATCGAGTCAAGCGCCAGGCGTGCCTCCAGCCTCCAGGCCCGTCGCGTCGGTCGCACGCGGGGCCGGGTCGCGGACGTAATGATAAGAAGAGCAATCTGTTTGCATTTTTAACGACGCGTGAAAAACAGGCAGATCAACAACTGGGAAGCGACAGGCGAGAAACGATCGAGCACTAAACTGACAGAGGTCACGTGCCGTTTCCGCCCCCCAACTCGCGCCCCGCGGAGATGCTCCCGCCGGTAATTGTTGCAGATACATCTTTATTGTTTCACACCCCTCCCCCCCCCCCCCCCC